ATTCGAATGCATTGGTTTTAAGTGATATGTAAGCTCAATATTGTACTGAGATGATGTTCAAACTGTGTAGTAGCCTATAATACTGTTAAATAATTATAAGTAATTATTGATGAATAAGTAGGAAAATGCTAAAATAATAACAGCATGGGGAAAATAAATCTTGTAATAATAAACTCGCATTTATGTTATACATTCAGAATTGCGAGAAAAAGGTCAGAATTCTGACTTTATAGTACACAATTGCGACTTTATTTCACGCAATTCTGTCCTTATAACATGCGATTGAGGCTTTCTTTCACCTAATTCTTTCTCTATAACATGCGATTAAGGCTTTATTTGACCTAATTCTGTCTTTATAAGATGCGATTGAGGCTTTATTTCACCTCATTCTGTCTTTATAACATGCGATAGAGGCTTTATTTCACGCAATTATGTCTTTATAACATGCGATTGAGGCTTATAAGCACACTGTAAAAAATTTCTTGTCAAATTAACAGTAACTTACTGGCAACAATTATCCAGTACTTGCTGTATTTCATTTAACAGTAAAATTACCGTAACACTAACAACAGTACTGTTAAGCATACTGTAAATTAAATAACATTATTTTACTGTAATTTCTTACCATATTAAAGTACAGAATTACACTGTTAATTTTTAATAATACTGTGTAGTATGAAATGTTATTGTATTTATTTTATAGTGCTACTGTGTAACCTGTAGAAAATCCGTAGAAATATTATTTTAACTGTTAATGGGAAATAGAAAAAAGAACAATTGAAGCTTTAACTGCACAAGGTTTATTGTGTATTTTCAAACACATTAGCGCATTTATAATATACATTTAAATACATTAATACAATTAAATACATTAATAATAAAAATGTAATATAATACAATAAAAATCATGCATGACAATCATGAACAATTATGCATAAATACATGCAAAAAAAATATCAGGTAAAATAGAAAAGATTAAAGGGGTGCTATCTGATCAATCTATTAGAAAGATAGTTCATAACAACTCATCCACCCACTCCCTGCTGGGGTAAAACAGCTTAAACTAGTCTAAGATTGTCTATTGGTTTGAGATAGACTGTCTAACTGGTCAGTTGCTGATTTTAAAGGGTTTTTGGCTGCTTTCTATCTAAGGGACCAGATTTGCAGGGCTGCGAGACACATATAAACTTATAAACTATAAAAGCTTTGACAAGTAAACCACCAATCCAGATGAGTATTACAAAATGACAAGTTATCCAGTGTCCTTTAAAAAAAAAACTAAACACAAAACAACCTCATCATGCACATGTGCCATGAAAAACTTGCATTATGGTATTAATAATCATTTATATGTAGACTTATGTTCTAACTTTTGCAATAGGAAGTTTTTTATCCAAGCTTTTATGCAATTAAACCTTAAACTGTACAACAACGTTTATTTTCACACAACAATTCTTAAAGTCCCCGTGAACCGGAAGTCGCAAACGATTTTTCTCCAGTGCTGTGACGTATTTCCAAGTGAAACGGAATATTGAACAGAGGGCAGGGTTTTACTCTAGCGCTCCTCCTCTCCATCTCTCGCTCATTGTAAACTAACGGTTTGAGGGGAGTGGTTAAGCGTTTCCCCACCCAAACTGTGAAACCTACGTCATCAGAAAAAGAAACCGTTCCAGACCGGAAGTAACTTTTCAGATTTTGATTAAAGATTACCAAGGTAAAACATTTTTTTAATATATTTTTACTTGCACGGATTAATTGTTCACCACAAGACTAGTAATATGCGCTAACAAAGTAAATAGGTTCAATTTTGATTTCACAGGGACTTTAACAACTTGCAGATAGACAAAATTCACAGATGGATAATAATCTGTTTAAAATGTTCTCAGTGGGTCAGTGCTGGACCAAGGTATAGTAGTAGTAGTTAGATAAATAGAATAATTAAATTAGATTAGATTTACAATTCATCGGTCGTCAAGATGGATAGGGGTCTTCTTAACATGCACAGCTCACACCTGTGGAAAAGGAGAACAGACAAGACAGTTAAAATACAGTACGTTTTTGTTGTTGTTGTTGTTTTGGCTAAACAGCAAAAACAGACAAAATTATGTCTAAAGTGTAATTCACTTAATACTAAAATCTTGTTTGTTGGACTGTTGTTTAAAATCAATTGTTAAAGTATGTTCATTATGTCCTCAGTTGTATGCTGTGTAATATAATGCAATGCTATACTGTTCAGTGTTGTGCATATGTTTATGCCACAAGAGGGCACTAAAGTATAGGCTATGGAGGATGCGTTTGTATTATTATTATGTTTGTCCAAGTTGATTTACCGTAGTTAAGAGGATCATATTACTGAGAGAATCTTCATTAGAGACTGATGTGTCAGTGTCAACAGCTGAAATAAATATGCCAAGAACGGCTAAAGATAACTCATCTCTATCGTCCACTCTTTTCTTTTGAATGCAACGCAAGCTGAAACATAACTCAACATCAATTCATTTACGATCACGTGAAAACGTAGGTTAAATCTTGCTTGTGTGATACATGACTTAATATTTTGGACAAAAATACACCTGGGCGCTTTCCGTGGTCCATCAGTTATCACTGAGGTAACGTTAACGTTAAATGGCAGAACGCCAGGTCAGGATTTACACGAAAAAAAAAGCGTGAAAAAATCAATAAGAGGAATTGACACTTTAATTTTATAACAATAAATCCGAATCCTAACCTTGGATATCCGATTTCAGGATATCGATTTTCAATTCCTAACCCCTATAAGTTATGAAATAATGAACGTGCAGGCGCTTTCACCGACTTAACGTGGTAAATAACAAAATGATTAGACCATTTTGACCTTATAAGAGGTTACATATGATATATATAATATATATATATATATAATAAAATCACATATTTAATCAAGTAAGTTAGGCTATCAAGATGAAAGAAATCCGCGTCTGACTTATGCTAGGCTTATAACATTCCGCGGCCAGTTCTTTCTAACGTTAATCTGTTAACGTACGTAACTCATATGGTTTGCATAAAAATATGAATTACTAACCAGATATGTATGGCGAAAACGTTGCCGACAGCGACGCGATGCACGGCCTGCGCGTTCTTACAGAGAGAAGGGAACTGAAGAGTTCTTCATAAAATGGCAGCTGGTTGTGGTTATTTTTCGCGGTCATTTCGTACTAATTTATTTGAATTTACAGTAACATGCCCCAAATGGCTACATTGAAGAGTAGCCTATCATATACATATTATATTAAAATGTCTAGAATAGATTAAATTGAATGTAGAAATCGTGGTCAGCTATTCTAAAAAACTTTAAAGTTATTAGCTAGAATCCGTATACACATTATAAGAATTATTACTTACCAGATGAAGAAGTTGCAGGTCGGCAGAAAAGACAGCAGCACCACTGACACGACAGAGAAACTCTTCCAAAGTCAAATATGCTTTCATGCACACCCCACTGACATAAATTATGTCATAAATTATGACTGTTAATGGTCAACCAGTGCTACATTTTTATTTTAAATGTAAGAATAACATTAGTAGGCTAGCAATTTTTCCGTGGAACTGTGTGTGGTGTTTTTCGCGGTCAATTTGCACTGTATTTAGATTAACAGTAACTGATAATTTCCCAGAATGCATTGAAATTCTACAGTAATACTGTCAACTGTGTGCACAGTACATAACTGTTGAAAAAACAATTTAATACTGTGAAAACAACTAAATCTACTGTAACTTACTGTACATAGATTATACAGTAAGAAACTGTTGAGAAAAACAGTATAATCCTGTGAAAACAACAGAAATCATTTACAGTGCAATTATGTCTTTTATAACATGCGATTGAGGCTTTAGTTTATTTCACGCAATTATGTCTTTATAACATGCGATTGAGGCTTTGTTTCACCTAATTCTGTCTTTATAACATGCGATTGAGGCTTTATTTCACCTAATTCTGTCTTTATAACATGCGATTGAGGCTTTAGTTTATTTCACGCAATTATGTCTTTATAACATGCGATTGAGGCTTTATTTCACCTAATTCTGTCTTTATAACATGCGATTGAGGCTTTATTTCAAGCAATTATGTCTTTATGCGATTGAGGCTTATTTCAAGCAATTATGTCTTTATAACATGCGATTGAGGCTTTATTTCACGCAATTCTGACTTTATATCTCACAATTCTGAGAAATAAAGTCTGCGAAAAGTAGCCTGTACTCGCAATTGTAAGGAAAAAGTCGCAATTATTAAAAAAAAAAAGTTTTATTCTGAAAGCTCTGAAAATAAGAGCTTCGCTCGTGACCATATTTAAATGTATTCTTGGAAGATCAACGATTGTTCACCAACTCTCTAAGCCTATGAATTCTTAATGAGCATGTGCCATCAGCGTTTATCACAGGATCGCGTTTAAAGTCTGTTTAGAGAGAACGGTGTCATCCCCTAATTTAATAGCCTAACAAATTATCATTTCGACAGAATCAAAACTAACTAGCTGTAAAATAACATTATTCATGAACCGCTATAAAGCAAAAACAATCTGTTACATTAAATTGAAACAATCTAAATTGTTAAAAGCGATATATAAATCAAGATGACTTGACTTGACTAGTGCGCATGCGCGCGTTACAGGGTCCAACACGTATTGGACCGTCCAGCTACGTCATCGTGCTACAGACTGCAGCGAGGACCTCTTGACCAGCCTTGGGCTACATGCAGGGTGATTGACTGTAACAACTTTATTTACATTTACATTTATATATTTACATTTATTGCTATATATGTCAGAGGTTGCATGCCTCTGGAGCAACTAGGGGTTAAGTGTCTTGCTCAGGGACACATTCGAACCCAGGTCTCTCACACCAAAGGCATGTGTCTTATCCACTGCACCCTCTTTATATCTGGCTGGAAGTCAGTTATAGTTGTTTCCCAAAGCTGCTTTTTCCCTTCTAATCCAATTAACTTACAAAAAAAAAACAACAACTCACTGTTCACTGCCGTATCCTTCAGGAAGCAGCCCGACAGACACGGACACTACAACCAGAGCAACCGTATATCCAATCACACACAGGAATCCACTGCTAAGCACCTCCCTCTTTTTGGAGCTGATCTGTGATAGGTTCTTCACACAGATTAAGAGCAGCACAGCTTCAATGAACATCCACACAAAGCCGGAGAGAAAGAGGAAGTGCAGCACTCCTGATATCACGGCACACAACACCTGGAGATCATGAGAGATGGTTATGATGATTCTCAGTGAGACTGAGCTGAGCTGTAGAGCTCCTTCATCATTCTCACCTGATGAGGGCGTATGAGTCTCAGGAACTGTTGTGTGAGCAGGAACAGAAGGTGAGCCGACAGAAGACTGATGCAGAGGTTGATTCGAGCTACATTATTTACTCCAGGACTCCACTGACAAAAGGCAAAGGTCAACAGGGCCAAACTGAAGAACACCAGACCCACGGGCACACACACCAAATTCAACAGCTCCAGCAGTGAGTCACGCTGAGAAAACATGTCAGAGAACATGAGTGCTAAATCTGTGCTGTTCTTCAGTCCTCACTGATGTTCTCGTACCTCTGATGGGCGGCTGGTTTGCATGATGAGAGCGAATGTGGACAGATGAACACAGGAACACACAGTGTAGTTGCCGTTGGTCTCTAAAACAGAACAACCATCTACAATCCACTCACTGATATTCCAGTACACACAGGACAGAGAACCGTTGGGGTCAAACTCCTGCAAAAAGAAGAAAGAACATGGAGAACATATTATTACACTGAATATTAGATGTTTTCAGATTTTCATCAGTTCTCAAGTTGGACAAAAACACATTTCGGTCCCTCACTCTGATGTGCTTGAAGGTGAAGTTGACTGGTTTGGTGAGTTTAGTGTTGGTGGTTTTGGGAAGAGTAGCTGAGATCACAGTGGACATCATGGTTTTAACAGTGTTATTTAATGTGTTGAAGAAGTCTGGCTTCAGTAGATTCTCCATTGTGTTATAACTCATGAAAGCCACAGCAGCTGATCCTGTGTGACAGAAACAGAAGCTTACGTGCAATACTACAACAATACAACACACAAACAATAAAAATAAATAAAAATACAAATATGGCTTGTTGGAAAAAGTATATCTCATTTTAATATTTTTTAATCCTACAGAAACATCTCACATACTTGTTTCATTGTTGTTCTTGGCGATCCCAATGAGATCAATGTCCACAGACGAATTCGTTGTGTCAAGTCGAGGGATTTTATCTAAGGTGACATTGCGTCCAACTATGAAGACTTCAACCTCTGATAAAAACAAACAGTTACGTAATATATTGATTTTGTCTTGTATGAATGAATGTCTTGTTTTGTTTTGGCTTATATATTTAGCTATATAGTACTACTGTAAAGCATGTTTAAATTTTTTGTTTAAACAAACAACTTTTTTTGTTTTGTTTTGTTTGTTTGTTTGTTTTTCTTGTGTATTTGTTTTTCTGGTTTTTGCTATTTGTTATGTTAAATTCCTGCTGTAAGGTCAATTTTTTATTTGAATCTAGAATCGAGGACCCTCTCGAAAACGAGATGAAACAAGCTTGCAATTAGACAATATAGCTACACATCATGCTTATCCTTACTATATATTAATAACTATCTTTGGCAGTAAATGCGATTAATTTATGGTATAATTCTGAACCTCTTGGCTTGCCATAGGCTAATCCTAACCAAATGTATAGGCCAATTACACGGTGCGTTTCCTATGCACATAACAATTTTTTTTGCGTATAAATTGCATGATAAACACACTGTGTGCGAGACACATTTAGTGTGACCGGGTTGATATATCTATGGCAACCAAACGTCACTGGTGAGACAAACGTGCAACGAACGGATGGTCAGATTACGTTTTGGCAGGGGAAAAACTGATCAGAAAATGTAATGAAAAAGTAACAGAAGTTGTAGAAATGTGGTGGAGTAGAAAGTATAATAATTGCTGCAAAATCTAACGAAGTAAAAGTAAAAAGTATGCACTATTTATTCTACTTAAGTAAAGTAAAGATACATGAACAATGTACTTAAGTAAAGTAACAAAGTATTTGTACTTCGTTACATTCCACCATTGTCTGTCGCCAGTCCATCGTGCAGTGTGAACACAGCAGTGACTGAATGCTGGCCAAGATAGTCATGCAGTGTGAAAAGAACAGAGACCTGACTGCTTTGAAAATCGTGCAGTCTGAACATGGCATAAGGTGTAGTAATCATGAAGACATTGATTAGCTTGTTCAGGTGAGTTTGATTAGGGTTGTAGGTAAACTGAAAAGTGGATTTCACGGGCCAGAGTTGAGGACCCCTGTCATAGAGTCTATCCTAACGTGCTGAGAATCTGAATCAGGTTTGTTAAATAAGGGACACAAACTGTCATATAGAGACAAAGAGACAGCAAGAATCAGTGTATGAATCTTAACAATGGTGATAATCAAAAGCTTCATGCTTTCATTTACATTTATTCATTTTAGCTGACGCTTTTATTCAAAGCGTTTTACAGTTGCTACATATGTAAGATGTGGCATGCCTCTGGTGCAACTAGGGTTTAAGTGTCTTGCTCAGGGACACATTTGTGTCTCAAAATGGATTCAAACCCGGGTCTCTCACACCAATGGTCTTATCCATCGCGACCTCACATTGTGACCATTAGGGCTGGGCAATATATCGCATGACATTGTTATGCCCATCTCATCAGTAAAGCCAGTTACTCCAGTAGTAAATCACCTTCACCTGCTTTCAGATGGAACATATGATGCAGATATGACACTCAATAGTGTTCATTTTATTGAGATAATTAAGTGATTCATTTAGTGATGATTGATCATTATTAAAGACAACTGATGTTAACAAGTAGAATCACTGAAGGAGAAAATCACAAATTGTAAGCCACTGTTATGGCGATCAGTGTTTGGTTTAGTTGGACTCTTGACCCTTATACTTTCACTTTATATTTGTTTGTCTGCTGGTACAAATTTATCACAGTCAAATGAACAAAGAAAAGTATGATTTGATAGTGTTGGTTATGTTTTGGCATGATCATGCCGTGATCAGAAAAATGAAATTTAGTGATATGATGTGGTTTAACTTGTTAGCAACAGATTTGTGATTCTATAGCATATGGTTATCAGTATTTTTCTTTTTATAATCCAAAATATTTAATAAACATCGTTCTGATCAAAACACTTCCAGATACATTTATTTAGAAACACAGACATCAATAATCAGCCTGTGAATCTCAACAATGGTGACAATAGTAATCCATGTGGCAGTGGATGCCACCACATTAATGATCACAACGAGGCGTGTGGTAAGCTGTTTCATGCGCTGGTCTGGAAAAAATTAATGGGCTGAGGGCTGGGTTGAAAAATATGATTAAAGTCATTATGAAAAAAAAACATGAAATTTGTCCGTATTGTATAGGTTATGTGTTGTAGCCATTAAATTAAATATATATTTAGTATCATATTTAGGATTAAATATTATAGACTAATGTTATTTTTTATTTAATCAATGTTGATTATGAAAGTGAGCATGCAGCATGAGAAAAATATGATGGATCATGAAAGATATCAAGGGGGTAAGACATGATTTTAACCACTCACTTCATTGAGTTTTGTTTTGTAGAAAGACTATTTTTAAAAATTTTTATATTTTTCTTGCGCCACTGATCACAATTAATTAATGGCTCTCATCATGCATTGCGGTATGAATAAATTATGATCTGAATTGTCTATGTAATTTACTTTTCCTAATTGAATATTCTGCTCGTCACCATTGTTGAGATGCATTGACTGAATCTTGAAATAGATCAAAGTGAACATTGAACAAATCTTGCCTAAATCAGAGATTTTTTTTGTTTTTTAAAAAACTTTTAAGAAATCCTTTATATTATATCAAAAATTCTGGATATTTATGCAGAATCATAGTTATGCTGTAACCAACAGCATAAATCACAAACATAAAGTTCATATGATGATTTTCATAATATAACCAACATCATTAGATCCCTTTTTATGTTCATCTGGGCAGTTTTAACTCAGAAACAACAGCCAAAAAAATCTAAAGTTAATAATATAAGAGTCAAGAGCCCAACTAAAGCAAACAATGATCGCCATAACGGTGGCTTACAAATTTTAGGTTTTCCCCTTCAGTGATTCTGCTTTAGGTGTCTTCAATAATGCTCAATCATCACTCAATTAATCACTTAATTATCTCATTAACTTTAACACTCTTGAGTGTGGACTCATATACACTCCCAGGAGTGTTAATTAAACGCTGTTTTTTCTGTGATGAAGCCATTTCACCATTAATTATACGTCCGCGATATTAATGTGATATGGCTCAGCTTGTCAGTGAACTACGGCTCTTTGTAGTAAATGCCGCTCCATCTGAAAACAGGTGAAGGTGATTTACTACTAATCAAGGAACCGGCTTTACTGACGAGATTTGCATAACAATGTGATGCGATATATCGCCCAGCCCTAGTGACCACAGTATGAGCACACAGTGAGGACACTGTGATGGTACACTTTTAGATCACTGTGAGATTAATTGACTGGAAACCTGTCCATCAGTCATCTGTCTAATCTAAAGAGCATTCTACCAAATGATGAATGACTTTGCACCAAAATACCAACCTTCGACATCAACAACAAAATATATGGACAGTATTTTCTTTTGTCTTTTAAAACATTTGTAATTCTTCACATTATATAGTTACTGCAGCTGGATTTATCATCATCACCGTCTGACACCTGTGATCCACCGCTGCTTTCTAGACTATAAACATCCTGATATCATTTACAATCTCAGTTTTTCATCATCATTAATTTCTCAACAGTTTCTCCACTTACCTACAGGTGAAAGAGTAAAACTGATATTGTCACTCGTGTCTGTCGGCTTCACCAATGTAGAGATGAGTTTCTCACAGGTTTTTAAGATAAGGTTTCCATAGGAGGCGAGTTCAGCCGGGCTGACTGATGATGAAGATGACTCTAAGATCTTCCCTGAAGCGTTGAAGGCCACCATCAAAATGTTGGTCACAGTCTAATTTATTAATCAGATGAATAGTGTCAAAGTAAATGTAAAAAAACAGCAAATAAGACAGCACTGTTTTGTCAATCATTATCAACAGTTTATAACCAACAAATGTTAAATTATTTGATTATTTTTCTTTTGAAGACTTACAGTCACAGAGAGCACTTGAGATGTAATGTTCTCGATCTGCTCAAGAAGATTTTGGAAACAGTTCTGACTCTGAAATTACAATTGTGAAAGAAGTAAGCTTTTTGTCGATTTTGATCATGTTTTTCAATATTAACAAAGAGCAGGGGCGGAGTGGGACCAAAAAATCTACCTGGAAATTTCGTAGACCACCGGCCCTCGTCGCCGGCACGATTTTAATAGCCGATAGCATTTACAGTTTTACTGATTTAAAAGGAACTTTGTTGTACTATGCTGGAGTAAAGTTCATGAATGGTCGTTCTTTCCCATAGTAATTTCTAAAACTATGTTGGAAGGACTCTGTGCCTCTAGGGGGGTTCGGGGGCATGCTCCCCCGCAAGGAAATTTTGGACATTTTAAGGTTAAATGCATCAATCTCGTGCTCTCTAAGAGATCACAATTAAGAGCTTCAACCCATGAACTGCTCGTTGAACAAAGAAAAAGTATTAAAGGGTTAGTTCACCCAAAAATGAAAATTAAGTCATTAATTACTCACCCCCATGCTGTACCAACCCCGTAAGACCTTCGTTCGTCTTCGGAACACAAATGAAGATATTTTTGATTAAATTTGAGAGCTGTATCACTACCACATTGGCTCCTAAGGGACTGCCTCTTGATGGCCCAGAAAGTCAATGAAGAAAATGTTTAAATATCCCAAGTGACTACCGTGGCTCAACTATATGTTTATCAAGCGACGCGAATACTTTTTGTGCGAAAAAACAAACAAAAATAACGAGTTTATTCGACTATTTCTTTTCTTCCTTGTAGGCCAGAACGAGACTTCCTTATAGATTTCCACGACGCATGCGCGAGAATTACGATCTGAAGTAGTGAAGCTGGTGTGAGCAGATCGCAAATCTCGCGCATGCGTCGTGGAAATCTATAAGGAAGTCTCGTTCTGGCCTACAAGGAAGAAAAGAAATAGTCGAATAAACTCGTTATTTTTGTTTGTTTTTTCGCACAAAAAGTATTCGCGTCGCTTGATAAACATATAGTTGAGCCACGGTAGTCACTTGGGATATTTAAACGTTTTCTTCATTGACTTTTTGGGCCGTCAAGAGGCAGTCCCTTAGGAGCCAATGTGGTAGTTATACAGCTCTCAAATTTAATCAAAAAAATCTTCATTTGTGTTCCGAAGACGAACGAAGGTCTTACGGGGTTGGTACAGCATGGGGGTGAGTAATTAATGACTTAATTTTCATTTTTGGGTGAACTAACCCTTTAATTTGTACTGCAGGACAATAAAGAGGGCTCAAACATCTTTTTAGTTATGAGAATCTCAGTCTGCATTACATTATCAATGGTGTTTTAGGATGCCAAACAATTATTATAATAATGTAATAATGATTTATAATTATTCCTATGACATACTGTAAAATCCATTTAGCCTATAAATGTAAATGAAAATGAGTATTTCAAAAGTAGATTTTAACCTACATTACACTATAATATAGGAAAATTAAAATACTTTTGTCCTAATTTCTTCACTTGCAAGAAATAAACCCTTGAGCTTTTATTTAGGAGAAAACACCAGACCCTGATGATCGCGTGAGCAAAGTAATCACGCAGCACAAACTGGATGCTATTCTAATGTCAGTTATTATAATGGCGCAACACCATATCATGGTTTCAATTTTAGTTTGTTGGCAAAATATAATGCTTGTGATCTTAATGTTATGTTTTACATTTTACATCTTTACATATGTGTTAGGAAAAGGGAGAAGAGAGAGTTCGGCAAAAGGCGGATTCGAACTCGCGTTCAGCGCATCAAAAACTGCTTTCAATCACTTCACGCCCTACGCCACTGAAGCTGTTTAAAGCGCGCGTCTTTTTTCTGTAAAGACCGGCACTTCGTTGAAATGTTATACATACATGTAATCATACATTTTACAGTATGTTCATATATCTGGCTTGGTCAGACGAAGAGGATTCTGAAGATATCAAGAAAGAGATGGAACAAGGATAGGAATGCAGTTACATTAAAATGCATGACTTTAATTAAAATGTTAGCATTTTAACATTTTAATGCAGTTACATTAAAATGCATGCTGCTCTTTTTAAAGATGTTTATGAATGTAAGCAAATATCATTTGGGATTTACCCCTCTTTTGAATATCTGGGTATTGTGTTAAAAGGTGCTCCACGTATTTTACTTATCATTGTTTACAGACCTACAAAACACTCTCCAGCCTTTGCTGAGGATTTTACAGAACTGCTATCAACAATTGCCTCTGAGTTTGACTGTTTTGCCATTGCTGGAGATTTTAACATTCATATAGATAATGCAGAAAACAATATGGCAAAAGAAATCAAAACTGTTTTAAAAACTTTTGATCTGACTCAGTGAACACCCCAGACCACCCGGTGAGTGTCACGTCTTTGTAAACTAAAGTTTTATGCGTTTTATGAATGATTGTCTCAGTGCACCTATGCTACCATTATAAAGGGGGGGGGGGGGATTAAAAATCAGATTTTTTAAAAGACGATATCTCTGCTTATACACTTAACTTTCAGCGTTGCAACTTTGCAGATACTGTTCATGCACCAACAGCAACATTACACATTATTTAGAATGAAAAAAGTGAAATCGCAGTCAACTCCCCTTTAAAAATTATGGTTTTCTCCGTCAGTGATTATTCACTTAATTATCTCATTAACTTTAACACTCATATCTGCATCATATCTTACATCTAAAAGCAAGTGAAGGTGATTTAGGTGATTTACTACTAATCAAGGAACCGGCTTTACTGAAAAGATGTGCATAACAATAACATTATATCGCCCAGCCCTACATTCCGTTGAGAATGAAAGACTCATGATTCTTCTAGACACTACACAATCATACCAAATCATTTTTTAAGACAATCATTTTAAAAATGACCAAAACTAAATTTCAGATGGTATGTGATGAAATGTATCTATCCAGATATCCAATCACAATATCTTATGCAATTTCCCAAATTTTGCAAAAACACATGGATGGAAACATTGCCACTGACAGGAGCTATGGGTTCAACTGGTAAAACTGTAATTTCAGAAACTCAACTTACGGTGCATCCTTCCGCCAGCGTTATATTTATACCTGCAATGACAGAAACCGCATGAAGACAATAATAAAATACTGTGGCAAATGACAATTCAGCTGTGTCAGACAAAACTTTAGAAAATAATCTCATAAAGTTCTATCTATATTTGGGTTTTATACATTTTGAACTGACTCCAGATCGAGTGGATGTCAGTGTCTCACTTTAAACTGTTATGATGTTGCTCCATTAGGAGCAGAACTCATGTTACCAGCACATAAAACTATCAGTAAGAAACTAAACTGGATGCAACCATTGACCATTCAGCACCTTATGTGGGAACAGAGGTGTATAAAGTAGAAGTAGAAAGCAGAAATCCTGCCATGTGTTCATTCCAGCCATGAACTGATGGACAGTTGATTTCAGCTGATATCTGTCTCCTGACTGAAAACTGCTAATAAGCAAATCCAGGTGATTGGAACGTTCTCAGAACATTGGCTAATATTGCCTATTTGGTTAATGTTTTAAAGAAATATTCAAAGAATGTTTAAAGAATGTTTTCTCATTTAAAATATTTTTTTCTATATGGTTAAATGTAAACTAAGATATAATGTTTTAACTGTAATATTTTGAGGATGTTTTGGGAAAATTATTGAGATATAAGATTATACAATGTTCCCTAAAAACAAAGGAAGAACATTATCAAATCAATGTTCGGAAAATGTTTAGAGGATATCATTGAGGCCTGAGATGACGGAATGCATTTTATAAAACCTTCTTGTAATGTGACTTGTTAAAGCATGTTATCATACACAGCAAAAACTCCCAGTCTTAAATTAACTCTCCTGGGAGTTTATTTGACTCCACAATCAAAGAGTTGAAGGGTTTCCCGGACAGAGATTAAGCCTAGTCCTATAAAATGGCCCTAACAGAAATCTGCTTTCTATGTCATGGCTTTAAAGAGCACCTATCATGGATTTTTGAAAATGACTGTTCATGTAGTGTGGAATATAGCTCTAAGGGAATGAAAACATCCTGCAAAGTTTTATATCTGAAAGTGCACCGTTTATAAAGTTATTGTCTTTCAAAAGTGAGAGTCGACTCTGAGTCTGTGAAATGAATTGTTTTTGAAACGAGTCATTAGCTGTTACATCGTGACGTAGATAGGTCATTGGCCGCTCCCAACAACTGCGCACGCAGACTTGAAGTGACGTCTAGAACACATTTAAAGCTATGGTATACGATGTTAAAAATCGGTCGAGACGGTAGGAAAGTTTTAAAAAATTCATCCCGCCCCTCCACACACACACCCCTCCCCTCTATGCTACCTGATCCCTGACGTATGTCACATTTGAGTTCACGTCAACGCAAGATTAGCAACACATGAAATGTTCTAAACTCCCCACCACCGTTATAATACTACTCGTATTGCTAAGGTTTTCAGTAATTGTTATTGTAGCACGCAGCGCATCTTGTTCAAATTCCGATCGGCTCGAACAGAAACCTCGAACAAAAAAATATAATTACTTTGACCCGTGATAGGCGATGCTAAACGGCCAACATTCCAATGCCGACCGGCAGCATGAGCAAGTTGTCAAACTGATAAAAAGCCATGTAACACGTCACACCATAAAAGAATAAATAAATGTTTACCTGCTCAACAAAAAGTCATCCGTGTCAGCGTCGTTTTCAGTCCCAGATCTCCCTGAAGCTTTCTCCAACGGTCAATGAAGGACGCTATATTTATCCTACTTAGAGTCCGGCGCTCTTCACATTTAATCTCCGATCTTTCCTCCACAGACTTTCTCTTTCGTCCAAACTTTACAGTAGGGGCAAGCAGGGGCCGCTTGCTGTTGTCGTTTACATTTTTATCCATTGCTTTATCCATTGCTGATCTGACGCTACCAGCTAGCTACCATAGACAGTCTGTCAGCTGTTTGCTCGCGCACAGAGGGGGGCGGGTGCGGTTGGGTTGGAGACGCGAGCGCCAGGCGGAGTTTCAAGTGGAGCTGGTGATTGGATGAGAGCAGTTGACCAATATAAGCTGTGCGGCCACACAGCTTACATTAGTCAACTTTTCTGCGGCTGTGCAGCCAATAGAGTGAATGGATTTTTTTCATTCTTTTTTCTATTCATATTGTTAGGATTGTCCTATATAACCACAACCAGCATCTAAACAAGGATATTAATAATGAACAATCTTTGAAATCGTATACCCTAGCTTTAACTACTTCAGCTGAATCACATCATGTCGAGAAGACGCTGTGTTCTACATTGCAAAGAAAGTTCAGCCATTTGTTTCCATTGTCCAGGGATGAGCATGTGAAGAATCAGTGGTCAGAGTTCATATTTGCAACGCCCGAACCTTGTGTTCACATCATTTTAATGACGAATCTTTCAAAATTCAAAAACCTAAAAGATTTCATATGTGGATTCACAAGCCGGTTGTTCCCGAAGGAGGGCTCAGTATCCAGTGTATATGGATCAGGTTCGTCCTCCTTCGAATCACAATCTGTAAGTATTATTAATAATGTTTGCTGTTATGTTTTCTGTAGCATGCACAATATAGTTATATTGGGGTCTGTGTGTTGTGTACACTCCGCGCAGCTTCTAAGCGGAGTAAAGTTAGTTTTGTTTTTGATATTCACCCGACATTCATTGAAAAATGGCAATTACCTCCTAACCGACTTAGCCAAATATGACTTCACTCTATATAATAAGCACTGTCCCTCAAAAGCCGCCACAATGTGAGTTTCCCTGGGAAAGATTGCTCTTGACGGAGACGCGAGTAAGGGTCCGTGTGGAAAGTGCACTTTTTCTGACACGTTTGTTCAAACACTATGTACAATTTTCAACACTTGACAAGCTATAATCCTGGTTATGGGCGTTCCGTTGCTGACAGTCTCTGCCTACGGTTTACCAATAACAACTCACTGGGTCATTTGACCAATCGCCGCAGATTTGCGTCACTCAAAGGAGGTGTTTAGGAAAATGAATCGATCGTCGAACGAATCATTTGAGAGTCAAATGAAGACAAATAAAGTTTTTTTTATTCTTGCATGCACGTTAAACTGTTTTTGGGAACTCCTAAAACAAAAATAGGAACATTTCAAATGCTATGATTAGGGGCTCTTTAAATAGTCCTAGATTTAGTTTAGTCCAGAGTTTAATAAGATGATTTCCTGGAGGAAGACTACAGTTACTCCAGGACTAAACTGAGTCATAAATTAAACCTACCAGGAGGCAGGTTTAACTTCAAATTAACTTCGTGTTTCAGAGAAGACACCTGCATTACTTGGATACACACACACACACACACACACACACAGTACATATATTAATATTATTAATATATCATTTAAACATTTAATTATGTTTTAACACCATTGTATCGGGTTTCTTGTTAAAATGTTAACTTGACTTTGACTTCACTTGATGTTTTAATTTTGAAATACACTCACCGGCCACTTTATTAGGTACACCTGTCCAACTGCTCGTTAACACTTAATTTCTAAGCAGCCAATCACATGGCGGCAACTCAGTGCATTTAGGCATGTAGACATGGTCAAGACAATCTCCTGCAGTTCAAACCGAGCATCAGTATGGGGAAGAAAGGTGATTTGAGTGACTTTGAACGTGGCATGATTGTTGGTGCCAGAAGGGCTGGTCTGAGTATTTCAGAAACTGCTAATCTACTGGGATTTTCACGCACAACCATCTCTAGGGTTTACAAAGAATGGTCCGAAAAAGAAAAAACATCCAGTGAGCGGCAGTTCTGTGGGCGGAAATGCCAGAGGTCAGAGGAGAATGGCCAGACTGGTTCGAGCTGATAGAAGGGCAACAGTGACTCAAATACCCACCCGTTACCACCAAGGTGGGCAGAAGAGCATTTCTGAACGCACAGTACGTCGAACTTTGAGGCAGATGGGCTACAGCAGCAGAAGACCACACCGGGTGCCACTCCTTTCAGCTAAGAACAGGAAACTGAGGCTACAATTTGCACAAGCTCAAGAAGATTGGAAAAACGTTGCCTGGTCTGATGAGTCTCGATTTCTGCTGCGACATTCGGATGGTAGGGTCAGGGCATCCTGCCTTGTATCAACGGTTCAGGCTGGTGGTGGTGGTGTCATGGTGTGGGGAATATTTTCTTGGCACTCTTTGGGCCCCTTGGTACCAATTGAGCATCGTTGCAACGCCACAGCCTACCTGAGTATTGTTGCTGACCATGTCCATCCCTTTATGACCACAATGTACCCAACTTCTGATGGCTACTTTCAGCAGGATAATGCGCCATGTCATAAAGCTGGAATCATCTCAGACTGGTTTCTTGAACATGACAATGAGTTCGCTGTACTCAAATGGCCTCCACAGTCACCAGATCTCAATCCAATAGAGCATCTTTGGGATGTGGTGGAACGGGAGATTCGCATCATGGATGTGCAGCCGACAAATCTGCGGCAACTGTGTGATGCCATCATGTCAATATGGACCAAACTTCCTGAGGAATGCTTCCAGCACCTTGTTGAATCTATGCCACGAAGAATTGAGGCAGTTCTGAAGGCAAAAGGGGGTCCAACCCGTTACTAGCATGGGGTACCTAATAAAGTGGCCGGTGAGTGTATGTAACCCATTCATACATGACATTCACTTCCCATCATGCTTTGCACAGGGCTGAAATGTACATTTTGAAATAAAGTGATATTTTATGCAATTATTTTTGTAAGATGAGAAAATGCAGAGAATGTTTAATGTTCTATTATTATGTTGTTATTTAAAGGGGATATATCATGCAAAATCCACTTTTTTAGCCCTTAAATGCATTTTGTTGTATATTTGGAGTGTTTATAAGTACAGAAAAGATGAAATTATTCTCTTCAGGTGCTTTGTTTACATCTTTATATTCTGTTTTGGTCATATTTTTCAACCTTTTCAGATTTTTCTGTTTTCTGTGACGTTTTTTAAACTATCACCGTCTATAAACTAAACCGTCAGTTCGCTTCATTTCACTGAGGATTGTTTTGTAAACAAGACTGGATTTGCAGACCGATTAAGAGTAAAG